TTTTTTTTTTTTTTTTTTTTTTTTTGGTTCCAGGGATTGAACCCACTGAGCCACATCCCCATCCCTTTTTTTACATTTTATTAGAGACAATGTCTTGCTGAGTTGCTCAGGGCCTCACTAAATTGCTGAGGCTGGCTTTGAACTTTCAATCCTCCTACCTCAGCTTCCTGAGTTGCTGGGATTACAGGTGTGTGCCACTGCACCTGGCTTAATAGTGTATTTAAAAAAATTGTTAGTGTGTTTAGTTCTTTTCAATTAAAGCATAACTTTGCAATGACTTCAGATGTCCAAAAAATTTGCCCAAATTGCAGTTTTTATAACTCCCTTAATTAGCCTCCCCAATGTTAGCATTTATATAAGTATAGTACAGTTATCAAATAAAATTAACATTAATATGTTAGTAATTAATCTGCCAGTCTTATTCAAATTTTGGCCGTTTTTTACAACCATTTCTTTTTCTGCTCCAGGATACAGTCTAGGATCTCACATTACATTGGATTGTCATATCTCCTTACTCCTTTCCAATCTTTTATAATTCTTTAGTCTTTTCTTGTCTTCCATGATCTCCATGCTGTTGTATAGTAGGTACTAGTTATTTTGTAGAATATTATTCAATTTGGGTTTGTCTGATATTTCTCATGATGGAGTAAGGTTTTACATTTTTGTGAGAATATTCTAGAAGTGATGTTGTACTTTCTCAGTGTAYAAGGGAACACATGATATTGATTTGTCTTATTAGTGATGCTACTAATCCTGACTTGGGTAAGATGATGTTTTTGGGTTTCTCAATTGTAAAATTAATTTTCCCCTTTGTGATTAATAAATATCTTGTGGGGGAGATATTTCGAGACTATGTAAATATCCTGTTTTACATCTACCTAAGGTTTTCACTGCTAACGATTACTTCTGTGGTGTTTGCTTAATCATTGGTTCTTTTTTCCRTGTCTTTTACATTCTTACTTTGAATTCTATAATGAAGAGTTGTATTTTTTCTCCTCCAATTATAATTATTTTAGTTCTTTATTTATATCCACATAGACTAATGGATATTTATTCTATGTACTACAATCCAACACTCTTTTTAAAAAAATTGTTTTTGGGGGGGCTGGGGATGTGGCTCAAGCGGTAGCGCGCTTGCCTGGCATGCGTGCGGCCCTGGTTCTATCCTCAGCACCACATACAAAGATGTTGTGTCTGCCGAAAACTAAAAAGTAAATATTAAAAAAAATTTCTCTCTCTCTCTCTCTCTCTCTCTCTCTCTCTCTTAAAAAAAAATTGTAGTTGTTGATGAACAGAAACTATTTTACTTGTTTATTTTTATGTGCTGCTGAGGATTGAACCCAGTGCCTCATATATGCTAGGCAAGCACTCTGTGCTGAGCTATAGGCCCAGCCCCTACAATTCTACACTATTAATAGCAGTTTTGTTTTTCAGATTGTTTCAGCTTTGGCTATTGGGAGCTCCTTCAAGATGGCTCCTGTGTCTTTTAGACATGCTTCTTTCCCACTAGTTAAAGTGCGTCCTAACTTTCTGGCATCACACGATATTTTATTTTAGTATTTTTCCTGTCTCAGCCATGGAATCAACCATTTCTCTTCRGAGCTCTTGTTTCCTTTATTTGGAGAATGATAAAATTGCAGATTTTTCTTTGGTAATGGGGTTGAACTAGGCCTTTGTACTTGTTAAGCACACTTTTTACTCTGAGCCATATCTCAGCCCCTAAGATGCAGAATTTTGAGCCGTATTCTATATTATCTTGGTTGTAGTACTTCTAAATGGTCTTCTATTGTACCCCTGCCATGCTGAAAGACTTTTCCTGTCCGTAGCCTTGATAATGTTTTTAGAAATTTCTTTTACCCCTTGTTTAAATATGCTTAATTGTTTTTCAGTCAGATACTAAATCTCTGCTTAAATTTCATTCCTTTAAGAAAGATCCACTTTAAGCTATCAAAAATCTGCTTTCTCTATCTTGTTATTTTTTCTTAGACATTTTTCATAGCCTCTCATTCTTTTGCCCATTTTTTTTGTTTGTGTATTCCACTAAAATGTCAGCTACATGAATGTAGTGGTTATGACTATTCTATTTTTAGTTCTATTACTAATTTWGTGGCTGGCCTGTGGGATTACTTGAACATTGGTCGAATTAATGATTTATTGAAAATATTGAAATTTAATTTTATGAAATAGTAATAAATGCACTCTAGATTTTGAATGTATATAGATCCTCAGTAACTGCAGTGTACTATTTTAGGCAGTGTGGTAGGTGTTGTGAATACAAAGGTGACTTGAAATATGATTCTTATCCTAGGGTAGTTTTTACTTAAACTAAGCCCCTGAGGCATTCTAGTTTTAAAAAAAGAGTACCTAATTTCTAGACACTTTCAGGATCCCTTTTCTTTTGTTTSTTTCTTTCTTTATGACTTTTAAATCACATTTTCTGTGTTATAGTCTTCTGATGTTGTAGTTGCTTGTACCTAAACGTTATATCTTTTTTGCTCCAGTTCCCTGGTTTAATAATTGAGTTCCATTATRTGCTTTAGATGAATGAAGTTTAGCCCAGAAATATATTCACAGCACTTACATTAATTTAAATGAAAAATTTCTACTAATTTATTAAAAGTTGATATAGTATATACCTTCCATCTCAACAAGTCCATTTATAAACTATTCCTAAGATACATTGGTTTCCTCTAATAGTTCTCTCTGCTTTTCCCATAAAAATATCAGTAGAAAAAAAGAATTATGCCAGGTAATGAGGAAACCTGTGTTCTAATTCTGGCTCTGAAATTGACTCTGTTTTATAAGCTTTTGGGGATTTAGTTTGCTAATCTACAACTTTGGTTTTGTCTAAAACTTTTTTTTTTTTTTCCATTTGGAAAGTGCCAAAATACATTTGAGGAACTTGTTGGAYATTTACTAATATTCTTATTTCTTGGATGCTTGGCTTGAAAGGTTGTGGGGGGAAAAGATGTTCAAAAGTATTTTCCCTTGTTGTGGTACTTGTGATATACTTGGTTAATAGGYTCRTCTTTTTTCTTTTCTCTTTCAAATTTAATGATATGAATTTCTAGTGCTTCTTTCAACATTTTATTGCTATTTTATTAGTAAGTTAAACCCCCCAAATTTAATGTGATATAATTTATAATCATACTTGATTGATTTTACATAGGCAGTGCARCAGGTTATTACCAATCTACTAATTGGTCAAATAGAGCTTCGTTCTGAAGATTCTCCAGATATTTTGCCATACTCTCATGAAAGGCGAGTAGAAAAGCTTGTTGTTCCCCTTGGTGAAAAACTTGTATCCATTCAAAAGACATATATCCAGGTAAGCCGTTTTTAATCACAATTCGGGTTTTTTGTTTTGGGKTTTTTTTGGGTGCCATGGATTGAGCTCAGAGGCATTCAACCACTGAGCCACATTTYCAGCCCTATTTTGTATTTTATTTAGAGACAGGGACTTACTGAGTTGCTTAGTGCCTGGCTTTTGCTGAGTCTGTCTTTGAACTCAGGATCCTCCTGCCTCAGCCTCCCAAGCCACTGGGATTACAGGCATGCGTCACTGTGCCCGGCTACAATTTGGGTTTTGATGGATGAACTGGTATTTCAGAATTTGGTTGTGAGATATACAGTATCTCATTGTATATAATTAACATGTGAGAAATTTTTTTGGAATGAGCACCATGTTTTATATGTGCTAACCAAGTATTATGTTAAAGGGAAACATAAGAGACCATTTCTAAAGCTAATTGTAGCTTTTTTTTTTTTTTCTCTCTTTTCTTTTTTTCTTGTTGTACTGAGGATTGAACTTGGGACCTCACACATGCTAGGCAAGTGCTCTACCACTGAACTACAATCTCAGCCTCCAGGTTTTTTTTTTTT